AAGTCATGTTAACAAGTTCAAATAAATGGGTGCACATATCACATGCAAGTTTGCTAACAGGTCAGGAAAATGATGGCTTGAGGTCCTCCTGTGCTTTTAGCAGAAATTTAGTGTACAGGAATTAGCAAGTGAAGACTGACACAGAATAGAGATAAGCAGATAGAGATAACTTGCTAACAGTTGCAGATAAAGCTAATGTTAGAGGAAGAGAAATTTTAAAAGTTGGCAAAGGTATACACAGACTACAGGAAAATAATTCCATTTAATTTGCACTGAAAAATAGATGCAGAAAAATACTGTATTATTTCTTTATAGGGCTATCAGGCAATAAAATAAATCATAGATGATTAATTGTATGTATATTAATAAATTACAGTACAAGACTAGGATTGCATGTTTAATTGATCAATGACTTGATTAATAAATGAGTACATTTTCATGAAAGGGGAAAAAACCCAATTGCTTTAAAAATCTCCCATCATACTTAGCTTTTAGGGACTTCATGCATTTACTATAATGGGCATTACTTAGAGAAGCCATTCCTTTTTTCCCATATGGGTAAGTATGCCTTTTTTAAGATGGCATTTGCCATATACAGTTAAATAATTATATTAAAAATCATCTCACTACTTTTTAAACTGCCATTATTTAAGTTGGTTTAAATATCTGATTTTTTTAAAGAATGTAACAATAAAATATCAAAGCTAATATGACAACATAATCTGTCTCTGTGTAATACATCTTCATTTATATAATCCCTTATATAAGATCCTTATTCCTGAACTTACATATTCAAGAAGGGAGTTTAAGGAACTATGGCAGACAGTGGTGAAAAAAGGTGAAATTCTCAATCTTAGTGACAAACTGAAACCTTATAAAGCATAGTGCCCAGTTGGTGTCTAATATTAAATTGCTGACCTTCTTACCAAAATATCTAATATGTCCCTAAGGTAAACCTTTCTACTATAATACTGGAGAATGACCAATGTCATACTAATTTTTAAAAAGGGATCCTGGGGGAATCTGGGAAATTGCAGGCTGAGTCTGTTCTGAGTAAATTGTTTGAAAGCATTATTAAAGATAGAATTTGTAAGCACATAGAAGGACAAACCTTGCTTAAAAATGAATTAACACTGCTTCCAGAAAGGCAAGTTCATTAAACTTTTACAGTTCTTTAAAGTTCAGTAAACCCGCTGAAAGGGGTCATCCAGTTGTAACTGTTTACTTGCTTACTTGTTTATTTCCAAAGGACTTTTGACAAAGTTTTTCACCAGTGGCTCCTGAGCAAATTTAGCAGTCATGGAATAATTGGAAAGCAGAAAGACAGAATGAATGGTAATTCCTCCCAACAGAGCAATATAATCAGCGGGGCACTGAAGGGATCTGTATTGTGACCAATTTTTTTAACTTTTTCAAAAATGATCTGGAATTAGGAGCAAGTAGTACAGTGGCCAGGTTTCCTGATGACACCAAGCTATTTTGGGAAGTTAAAACCAAAAGATTGTGGAGATTGTGATCTCTCCAAACTGAGAGAATGGGCATCAAAATCCACACATCCTTTTCAAATATATTGTGTCAATATATTGTGTTAGCCATGCCATATTTTGTCATGCCCCAAGAATCCAGCACTGCCATGGACTTGGAGGCTGAAAAACCAATAATGCCATCAGAAGAAACTCGAGTCCTGGCATCACTGAGCCTGAGCTGCCCTGAGACCTTTGGACTCCAGTGCCAGATCAACAACTCCAGTTCCACAAGAACCCACATTCTAGGGAGCCAGTGTGACACCACCAGCAGCTTGCCTCAGCATGAGCTTTTGAAAGGACAAAGTGCTCAGCTAGAGGCCAGAGACCTGTTCCTTTAACAGTTTCATTTTGTAGGACAGGGTGGAGTGTGAGACTGTAGCATGAGAGGCTTCAGTTTGGTCTCAGGCATCATTGGAGTAAATTGCTCACTAGGTACTCTTCTGGATATGGCCTGCCTTGTTGCTTTGCACTGAGCTCTATGAGCCTCTGCTTGGTCAGAGTAGGATGTATTTAAGCATTTGATTTATCCTATGAAAATGCAGAACTTTGCATGTACCTCTGTTGAAATTAAATCTGTTAGCTCTGACCTAGTTCTCCATCTTGTTAAGATCCTCTTGAAAACTGTTTCTGTCTTTTAAGGTACCCCTCCCATTTTGGCATTCACTGCAACTCTGATGAGTGTTCCCATTGCCCAAGTCATTTATCAAGATGTTGAACAACACTAAGCCCACTGCAGAAAGCCTGTGGCATTCAACTTCTCACTTCTTCCTAGGATGAAAAGTACTGTTGATTACCATTGTTGGGAGGGGACCATCAATAGCTACAAATCAACCTAATAGCATCATTTAGTATGTATTGGAAGCCTAGTTCAAATAAAGGTAGAGTTTTAGGTGAACAGCAAAAGAACTTAACTTTCTGAGTTTCTCTTGTGTTACATGTGAATGTTGTTAATTTGGCAGTATTGTAAAAGACAGATCAAGCATAATTGCTTGCCAATTGAGGTGTTATGTTTACAATTTATAAATCAAGTAGAACAGAGTTTATCCCCTAAAAAAGTGCAAAAAATGCCCTTAGCAAGAAGCTAGCAGTTACATCCCTGGGACACTATCCAGTGGGATGCAACCACTTATGTAATTGTGTTGCTCTAGCACAAACTACTACAGAATAATGCAAATACCATTAGCTGGTGGGCTGATTTTGCTAGAGTAGTTGATGTTACTGCAATGTAATTTGTGTCAGCAGTTGTGCCCTGCTGCATACTGCTTCCAGCAAAAACCAATGTGCCCATTGCTACTTTTGAAAATACTACCTTCCAAGTCAGATTAATGTTACAACAAGTTTACATGTAGCTGTACATTGGTGCAGTTCCTATTCTTTTCAATTGCAACAACATACAAAGAAGTTTCCATTTGATTTCACCCTTGGCGATGGGAAAGCTCTGATTTTCCTGCCGTAAAAGTAGAGGTTCCAGTACCTGTGCAAAGGAAGAATTTCCATTCCATTTACTAGGGGAAAAGCAGATAATAGGAAGCTCAATCATTTTGATTCCATGAAGGCATGCTACAGTGCACTTGTAGGAAGATTTTCATGCACAGAATATTGAAAAGCCATTCTACAGATCCAGTGCCAAAATTCCATGTGTGCGTTCACCAAATTATTTACTTGTAATTGGGTATGCAAATAAGTAGACACACTGGCAGAGGACTCACATTTGTCATCAGCTCTTGCTCAGTTTCAATGGATTTATGTTAAAATACCATCTCCCACTTCTCCTGTCTTATTCAGTTTTTGGCAGACGGTAGGAAACCAGTAAATTCGTTTTTTGTCTCACTGTACAGAACACATTTTATTTCAAGTTATATAACCTGCTGTTTGTTTCGCCTTCAGGGATGAGCCATATTCTTCTAATTCCTAGTTTTCATTTAAAGAGAAAAGCAAATCTCTAGCTCTCTTGGAACCTCAGATATGAGGCAAAAGTGCAGGCACTGTTCTGCTCATTAACTGTGTGAGAACCTGGCCTGTTCCCACCATTCAGTGTTTAAACCAATGAAGCAAGTAACTGCATGGTAAATGTAGCAACTGTCTACAGGGAGTGTTACCCCTTCTGGGTGATCTAAGCCTTTGAGGGCTTCCCCTGAAAAACTATTTGGAAATCCATCAGTTTTCTTTACCTGGGTTTCAGTAGTAGTGTGCCTACCAAAAACTAAAAGGTAACAACAAAGACAGGAGATCATGATATTTCTTGTGAATATTTTATCTGAGTTTATAAACATCTAAAAATTACTTGACCATGTGTTTAGATAAACTTTACCACTGTTATACCCATAGTGCAGCATGCAGTGGTTGAGAAAATGCAGTTTACTCAGCTCCTGCAAAGTAGTCCCATATTGTTATTCCTAAATGTTAGGGTTCTGTGTTACAGTAACAAATGACAATTTGGCAGTGTTATTCCACCCTTGCTTCTTTGCTTCTTTCATAGTTTTACCCTATTTCCACACAATGAATTATGCAGTTTTTCCATCAAAGTAGGCTAGTGTACAAGACTAGGCTACCCTACCTAGTACTCTCTAGATGCATTGGACTACAAGTCCTATCATCTCCAGTCATCTGGAGCTAGCTTGTATCAACATTTTCAGAAATTCTGTTCTATTTTTATGCTGTACCTCTTTTTTGTAATACAGATAAAACAAAAGAATCAGGAAGAACGAAAAGCTTCTTACTATGATACACCCATTTGGAAAACAAATCCCAATGTATCCATACAAAAAATAACTATAATAATAATAATAATAATAATAATAATAATAATAATAACTTACTTCACCCAACCAATTAGTTAATACAATGTATTAAGTTTTATGTACATATGCATGCAAAGCATAGTTATCAGAGTTTGTTTAGTTGACCTTAGTGATTAGATATATTGTAATATTTAATTTAGACGTTTACTCAGATGTAAGTTCTGTTGTGTTCAGTAAGTATGCACAGACTGCTACTGGTAAGAGTGTATCTAGAAAGCTGCAAGATGTGGCTCTGTGTGCATACAGAACAAATAGCATATGCATAACCCTATTGCGTGAGTGGAGGTGTTTTCTACTTGCGAAAGTATAGGCCTCTTGGGATCTTGCTCAGGGTTTACACGATTCTATGTAATATGACTTAAATGCTTTTATGTAAGTCCCCATAATCAATAGCCATTGCATCCTGGAACATGAGCAAAGTCTTGCAGAATTAGTGATTCTTCACACATTCACAGTCAGATTTAACCCTTAACTGAATATACATAGGCATGGGCTGTTGGTTCCATATTCTGATTACATTTGGGAAGAAAAAAATGATGAACTGAAAGAAGGACATCCATCACCTTACAATCTAAGGTCAAAATCATTCTCTCATAAGCATGAACAATCAACATCAGCTGCATGGGGCCATCCAAGGTTCCTTGCCTATATAAAGAAAACAGATTCATCTTACCAGGCAAAGGATCCTGGTCAGAACAGATTGCAGGCAGTTCAACACACTTCTCTTCATTGGGTTTGAACCAACAGTCAAAATTTAGCCACATCTCCTGGTTGGTGCTTATATGCTTCATATGCAACATGGTCAAATGCCAGGGTTCTTTTAACTGAGAATGTAGACCAGATACCTGAATCTTGTAAAGAGAGCCAATGTTTTTCAGCTCATCCTACATAAATGAGAAAAAAGCAGTCACAACCGCCATTAAAAAATGTATAATTTCTTATCTGTTATGTATGATGTCTGAATTCCATCATTAAGGCAACACATGAGCTTTTAAGTGAGAATTTTCATGCAAAGTACAAATAGAATTAAAACACACACACTCTGTCACATGCATTATGCTAGATATCATTCACATGGGTGGTTTGTGAACACTAGATTTCATGTATTAAAGCTTTAATATAAATTTGATAATCACCAGAAAACTAAAGAATCTTTGCACATTGCATTTTAAAGTGTACATTCCTGATGTTTTTATGTGTGAACTGAACAATGTAAGGTATATTTGCAACGAACACATGATGAAATTACAAAGGTCCATGCATAAAAGAGTTAGGGTTAGCTTCAGAAGCTCCCAACTGTCCGTGCTCAGTAGAAAAATATTATTTTGTCTTGTATATTGTGTGAAAAAGTCCTTAGACCATCTTTGGCTTACTTTAAAAGAGGGAAGGGGGAAAAGCATAGTTTTTTATGCCATTTCAAGCAGTGGCCAAGTTCAGATAACAGAGGACATATGCTCAAGTGCTCAGTATGGGTGGATTATGTAATTAAAACATGTCATTGAACCATGGGTTGTTGTTGAAACATGGGTTATTTTGTTGCCTGGGCTGTTAACCACAAACAGTGCATGAAGACAACTTATAACTTGTTCTTGGTTTGTGAACTATGGGTTTATTATTACCATGGTTTGTTAAGTCTGTGTGGTTCAGGCACCTAGCAACCCACAGTGGAATAACAACATACAGTCAATCTATACTCAACACTTCATTGTGGTTTACTGTGTTGATGGAACCTGGTCCATGGCTTAATTTTAATATATAATGATCACCATTGATTTGTAGTCTACTAGTTACCAAACTGGAACATTGCCATAAACCAGCTGGTTTGCTGGTTTTATGAGGGCTTAAACAAACATGTATATAAATCTGTATCTGGCAGCTGCATCTTTCTAAAGTAAGTGCAGGAGCTGATTCAGATGAGAACTCTAGTGTGTAGGGGGCTTCCAAGATTTGAACTGGTCCCTCTACATCTGTTCTACATCAGAAATGAAGGAAAATGTCACTGCTTGGTATGGATGTAAAATACTCAGATGTTTTGGCCCTGAGACACAGCATTGCTGCAGTACTTCCCATCAGGCTTTTACAGAATAAATGTTTTCCTGAAATGGGCTGTAAGTAAAGTAACTGAGGTAAGCAGGGCTAATGTCAGGAACACCTACCATCCTTGAACAGCTGCTCTCCTTTGTAGCCTTGCACTCAAAGCAATGCTGGGCAGCCAGGTCTAGCCACCCAGTGAGTTGTCCACCGTGCCCTGCAAGCCCTGTTGTGGGGAGCTCAAATAGTGGCTACAGCCAAGGGACCGACCCTGCTTAAAATGCTCTTGCCATCTGCTGCCAGGCAACCTGCTAACCCTCTAACCCCCAAACACAGGAGGATCCCAATGGAACCTTTGGCCTGATGCTCCTTTAGACTTGGAGACAGACCTAGTGGGAAGGACCCTAGAAGAAAAAATGAAAATATGAAACCAGTTGCAAAGGTAGACAGAATAGGTGTCTGTGAAAATATGTTGTGGCTGGCAAAAACAAGTATAATTTCACTGATGTGTCTCCCTGATCCATTTTAAGGCACATCAGTGCATATGTAAAATGACTGAAGATAGTTGTAAAAATATTGTCTCCCAAAGGAATTGTTGTAGGGCTCAGTATATAAAATTAGTTCTTCACCTTTGGGGCCATCTTACAGCTGCAAAGCAACGTATACACAAAGACACAGGTACAGGCCTTCTATCATATGTTGTATAAATGTGTATATATTTTTTGCTTTTTCATGTACAAAAGAAAGATTGAATTACTTTGATTTGTGTGGCCTTTTCTGAAAGCTGAAGTGGCAACTCTTTGCGATCTTGTTCTCCATAAAAAGTAAAGGTAAGGTGTATAGGATCAAATTCAGCACTCATATCAGATCCAATAATATCCATTATCCATAAACCTGAAGAGTTTTTGTTGAATTGAGGGTGTTTTGAAGAAGAGGTCAATGTTTTACCTTTAAAAGGATCAAAGACAAAACCAAATTGACATAAGCAGACACTGGTTAGTAAACAAAAGGTGTCGTAACTTTTAAGTTTCTTGATTTCAGTGACAGTTACTGCAACAGATGCAACATACTTGTACAACGATTGGAATCAATATGCTTAATGTTGGCTAGATTTTACTCCAATACCATGTTGTAGGTTTTGTTAAACTATGACAAGTTCAGTAATAATATAATATTAAGACAGTGACTTCTGTTATTCTTGAAGAATTAACACTGTTAATTTTTATCCCACAATTGAAATCTCAAATTTATAGTTCTTTTAATAGATGCCAGTTGGGATTCACTGTCCTTTCTACAGTTAATTATTAAGTAACAGGGAGCATCCTTCAGAATCCTCATTAACTGTTCTCATACAAGTCATCAGTGCCCCCAAATTCTACTATATTATCTACAAAAATGTGTCATGTGAGAGACAATGACAGGTAGAGATAATGGCTTCCATGAAATACCTGGGAAATCAGGCCATAAACAGGAACATGCTGTGTGATTCTACTGACAAATGAACATAGAATAAAGCAAAGTCTGAAAGAAAGACATTGCTAGATTTTTGTTGAAAACCCTCTGAATGATTCTGTGACTTTCTGCTACATTTGTGCCAGTCTTGAATAAAAGGGCATGCATATATATATCATGCATCATTGTCACTAATGTGTGCATTTCTATGAATAGGGTCACATGTCTTTAACACCTGTATGAAAGGTAGAAATTCAACAGCTGAAGCTTTTCTGGGGTAAAATATACAATCACAGGACAAAGTATCACCTGCTGAAATCATAAGAGCTCTGCTGGAAAAATGTAATAAGTCTGCCAATGAATAAACTACATTAACATTTTTCTCTCTAATATGGGAAGATCTTCTGTTTGGTGTGATTATTTACACTTCTAATTCTAAGGGATACCAGCTGGCCCTTCAAATGGATCATAGGATTGTCAAGCACTGTATACAAAAGAGAGCCTACTGAAAAACCTCAGTCATTGCACTTCTGATGAAAACTGCCACACTTCTTTCCTTTATGTTGACATCCAATGAATTACAGCAGGGGTGGACAGCTGTGTTCTGGCTTAAAACTCCTATGATACCATACCATTGCAGACCACAACTCCTGGAGGGTTACAAGTTGCCCTCCCTGGTTTGTAGTAAAGTAATAGCAACATAACTTTTTATTGTCCCGTTATTTTAATGTTTAACTGGTTTTAATGTGTTTTATACTGCATGCCATGCTATTTAATTTCTATTTTACTTGTTGTTTGCTGTAAACTGTCCTAAGACACTCATAGAGGGATGATTTATAAAAGCTTAATAAATAAAATAAAATAAAATACTGTATGATTTATTCTGTTCACTAATTCTTTCATTGTTATTTGCTGTAGCCATAGCAAAAAGATTTGCATTGTGGAGTTATCTGATGCCTAATGAGGAGTAACTGAAGATCAGTGATATAATTTAACAAACAACAAAGTAAGACTGCCCCTTCAAAAATGACACTGACAAAGTGACTGACTTCAATGTTAACTCTTTTTAAAAAAATTAAAATTTACAACAAAATTAAACTTAAAAGCTGAGATATTTTAAAAGATTATACATTTTAATTTCCACTAGCCATAAAAAGACCTCATTTCAAATGAGATGGTTGGAAAGAGTATAGCTTCTAGGGTGCTAGATCAGCTTTCTGGAGGGCTAGGTTAATTTAAGATACTAATTTAGCACCATCTAGTATTTCTGACAGTTCTTCAGTAAAGTCAATAGTGCCAGTACTTCTTTTGAAGCTAGAATTCTTTTGACAATATGGACACAGAGAATTTTCTAATTTAAGATTATGGCTACTGTCTTAAACATGCTGAAGAACATAGAATTCACTACACTGAATCAGATCAAAAGCCAATGCAATTCACCTTCAATTTGTACCTGATGCCTGTGAGAAGCCCACTACAGGATATGTATACAATAGCAATCTTCCACTGTTTTTCACAGACTGGCATACAGAGATATATAGATTCAATTTAAGCTGCGACAACCCAGATTCAGGCTAGATATCAGGTAAAACCTCCTCACGGTCAGTGGAATCAGCTGCCTAGAGAGGTGGTAGGCTCTCTCACACTAGAGACATTCAGAAAGAAACTGGACAGCCATCTGAGTAGGATGGTGTAAATTGGTGCCCTGCAACAGCAGGGGTTGGACCCAATGGCCTTCATGGCCCCTTCCAACTCTACAATCCTATGTCTGATACCAATGCTAATATACAGACAAAATGATCCAACATGATACCCTCCATGAATCTATCCAGTTGTTACACCTCGAGGTAGTAAATATCACACTTTAACTAAACATTGTGTATAATATCTCACTTTGTTTATCTTGAATCTCCCACCATTTTGTTTCATCAAATGACCCCCAAGTTTTAGTATTATGAGAAAGAGGGAAACCTGAGGGGGTGTCATGCGGAGGTAGGTTGTGACCTTTTTTCTCCTGCAGATGTGGACAGGATGTGTTCCAATGGAGCAAAGCTCAGTGAACCATGGTTCAGTACTTCCTGATGGTTAGGACCCCTAGGGTATGGAATGGACTTCCACGGGAGGTGGTTGAAGCACCATTGGTGACAGTGTTTAAGGACAGGCTCGACATGCATATGGTAGGCAAGTCATGAGCAGAGCCGGCTGGAGCCTGGGGTCAGACTAGACAGTCCAGGAGGCCCCTTCTGACTTGTTCTGTTTCTATATTTTTCTAATGTGCTACTTTCTCACCTTAGGGGGAAAAGCTTCATTTGAACTAATGGAACAGGAAGATACATTTCAAGCGAAAACAAAAAGGAATGGAGTATGTCATAGGGTCATAGAATGGGTCATGACCAGACCAGCATAAAGACCCTGTGGGGGCCACTAACTCTAGAAATATCCCAAGGCACATCTGGAACTGGAGACATTATGACAGGCCTCCAAACCTCACAGTTCTGTTGGACTGAGGAGCCTGGTGGACTTGGACTTTATTCCCACATTTAAGAATATCCACTCTGTTGGACTTTATATTCTTCCCACATTTAAAGCTCTAGGCTAGTGTTTCTGAGGTGCTTAGTGTGGTCCTGTCTCAGGGAAATGAAATGGATTTTGATACAACAGATCCAGAACTGGATGGTCTCTACTGAAACACCTTATTCTGGGGTCCTAGCACCAGCCACTGTCTATAGGAACCTTGTCAGCAGTTCCTTTCAGCTGCTAAGTTGTGAACAATTAAATGCTGGAATCCAACTATCCAGTGCATATTCAGTGAAGGAGCAACTGCCATGACCTTTGAATTTTTAACTGAACCACCTACCAATTGTTTCAATTTCACAGACAGTGTCACAGAGTCCTAAATGAGTATCCAGCCAGTTCCAGCATGGAAAGATCCATTCTTTATCTGAGTTTTCTGACTTCTTAATTGTTATCATCTTCAAGTATATTCCCGCTCCATATCCTTCTCCATCATGTCCTATTACTATTTTTTTCAAGTGGCTCAGTGAGACAGCCTCCATTAAAAAGGAATCCACCTGAAGAAGATTTACTTTTTTAAAAAACAAAACAAAAACTAAGCAAGATTTAATATAATTGAACTTCAAAGAATGTTTTATCTTGGTCCAAGGTAAGATGATTTAGACTTTATACTGGGCCTTTACTCATTTTTCATATTCTAGTTTTAAATGTAGACTCCCTGAACACAGTTACCTTAAATTCCATCATAGTCCTGATACTCGAAAGGTTACCTGTCTTTAACACATGCAGTCCACTTGTGTGCAGTCCACACAAGCCCTCAACAGTCTTGAGAATCACAATTCCAGTAAAGGTTTAGATACATGAAAGATTGGGTTAATACAGTTCTTTGGTCTCTATGGTATGTATAAATATTGGATAACAGAAGAATAATACTTCCTTTCTCTTTTGGGACTGAAGAAAAGATCATATAGCCAGGAATGGAAATCCATATTTTGCAACTTCTGATCCAAATGAGGACTGACAAGCCACTCAGAAAATATATAGTATCCACCTGATCTAGACACTGAGTATAGCTTCATGTTCCATGCACCTGAATTCTATGTGACACCTTTAGTGTCAGCCATTCAGATTCTTTTCCCACACCACTTTGCAATTTCCCCTGATCCAATTTAATGCACTTTACTCCTGTGTGCTCCAATTTAGCACTAGTTTTAGAAATCATTCACAAAAGAATGAAGTTCCCCTGTCCCCAAACCCTGCCATTTTAAGAACCTTCAAATGGTCTCTTTTAAATATGTCCCTGGCTTGCTGTGTAACATCCCAGCTGTACAATGTCAGTGCACAAATGACCATTTAGTTCTTTTATTAAAGAAAGAAAAAAGTCTGTGAACTTTCTCAGCCTTCAAGAGTAGGCCTTTTCTGAAACCACATTTGCCTCATGCTATCACTTCTGCAAGAAGAAGATACATGTTATTATCACAAAAACTAAGCTATTGTACACATGCTGTTTGAATGACACAGACTATTGGGTAGTTAGTTACAAGCAAACAATGATGTTTACAATATTTCATATACTTCTCAATGATTCTGAGTTTCTTGGATTCCTGTTAATTTTGTATATTCAAATGATGGTTTCAGATATTGTGTGCTCAACCTCCTTTTTTACCTTGTTCCTTTGAAATGTTTCTCCTGAAGTGATAGAACGTTGCAGTTTCCTCACACCTGTGTCTCCTCTTTCACCATAAACTGTTATATAAAGGTTTGCAAAGGTTTCAGCACCCCAGAGATCTCCGGTGTGTACAGAGATGACATATTTATGCACTGCAAAGAATCAGTATTAGGTGCATAATCCACATTAACACTGTATTACTTTTAAACCATAAAACTGTATATGAGACAAAAAAGTAGTAACCCCATCTATTTCAATATGTGCATAAAGCAATGAAATATCCAAATAAAGTAGCTATCAAATATATCTTTCTCTCTAATACTGTAGAAGGTGGCCTTATGCCAACCAGAAGAGCAAGTGATAAAACAGTGCCACCCAGAGAGAAGGGGGCACAGCAGATAAAATGGGAAGACCAAAAACTGCACATGAATTTGCTTCCCTCCAGATTAGACTGTAATGAGGGAGAGGAGATGGAATGTAGCAATACAAAGATCAAGAGAGGCATCCTACAAATCTGTTTTTCCCCTTCCAGAAAATTCTTTAAGGTTTTAGAATATTGGTAGAATTAGGATTATAGCGTTCTATACTTTCCCTGAATACAATACAATCTCTCATGGAGCATGCGAAGCATTTATCACCACTCTATGCTCTGTTTCAGATGGTTCAGAAACAACTATCTGATCGATGAATTTATGCATTATCCACCCATTCTCCATTTTATTTGCTCATATAATTTCTCATAAATTCCAATTTTGTGTCCATATAATAGCAATGCTGCACTAAATAATCATCAGACATAATCGACATTCTGATTCTTCATTTGTATGGCTTCTTCTAGAATATGTGATTATATGGATTGCTAATCCTTATTACATCTATTTATTACACTAATATATGCAATTCTTCATTCAGACTTATTTGCAAGATTGGTTTTCTTTTTGTACTCCATTCTTTCTGTAGGTTCACCTGCTTCTTTCTGGGTTGTGCTTTAAGGACCACATAAATGCTTAAATATGATATCTGCAATAGGCATGTGCATTTAGAAATACTTAAACTCTTTACAAAATGTTTGCTGTCAGAGACCAGCAATGAATATAACATAATTAGAAACTGCCACCTGCTGCACATTCAATGTTTCTTTGAATGCTGCACAGTATCTCTCTGTGCCACATCATAAAATAAGCCATTTAATCTCAATCCAATGCTTCTGCTGAGTTCTAACTCCAAGTTTTGGAGGTCCCTGGGGACAGACACTTCCAATGTCCTCTATACATAAATCTACATTGCCATTGTCATTGTCAGAAGCTGCTACTGCTTCTCATTCTCTTTCTCATCACCTGCTTGACAGGCAGAGAGCCAGCGAGCAAGCAGGTGGGAGCATGTATTTTGCCTCCTTCTCACGGGCGCTGTTACAAGGTGCACCAACAAGCAGATTGCTACAGTGAAGGGATGAGAAACTCCTGGGGTTCCTGCTGGGCTATGGGTGCTTTGCAGGTGCTCCGCCAGGCCTTCTCTTGATGCCAGTCCTAGTCCTTCTACACCATTGGCTGTCACTCCAAGGCAATGCTAATTTTGTTTTGGCTTAATTATGTTGTGATCCTATGCCCTTACCCTGCAAGACTGATGGCAAAACAATACCAGTGGTAGCGCAACATGGAGTAATTCACAGTTACTCAATACTGCTACCACACATTACCATCAACAGGATCACTGATGAATGATACCTCACATTAGGCATATAAGGAAGACACCAGTTAATGTCCAGTGCTAGCTAAACAACACCTTGACATCCCACTTCACTTTCCTCCCTGCATATAACCAGTTGGCCAGGAAGAACTGACAACACTTTCTCTAGTACAGTCCTCCATACCATAACTGGTATAAAGGCAAGAATTTACACTTGTTACAGCAAGTCATGGGGCTCTCCAGAGATAAAACTGAGAAAAGGTCAAAGTTGCAAAGAGAAAGTACAATTACAATGACAAAATCCAACAGTTCTATAGCCCTACAAGGTCAACTCAGGAGCAACCAGCCTCCTAGGAGATGGATTCCAGTCCTACTGAGACCCCAAGGATCCCAGTACATATACTGTTCATGGCACTGCTGTATCACATGTGCAGTGATGTCCATGTATGACATGAAGTGTAAGTAGACATGATGAATGTTGATTCTGCAGTCCCCCAAAAGTATCCTTAGAAATGCTTCTCCCTCCCATTTGCCACTGAAGCAGCAGCAACCATGTAAACAAGTGAAAGGAAAAGGGGGAGAGGCCTTGGAAGATCACTGGAAGTCAGGAGAGAAGGGGAAGGATGGGATTTGGAAGCTAAATGGATAACAGTTTAATTCTTCAGATTTTGATCAGAGTCAGAAAACTATCATCATCCTCAATTTCATTTCTATGCCACCCAATAACTGAAGCTTAATGGTAGTTATGATATTTGTATTTCAAATCCAACAAATAGGAGTCTGAAATCTCTATTTATAATAGGAGCTACTCAGTTAGTTATAGTCCACACATTTTGGCTGTATTTGCAGTTGACAATACTCATCACTGAAATTAAACAGTAGGCATATCAAGTGAATTTGAACAGTAAAACATTACAGAAACACCCTGTGAAATAAAGCATTCTTTCTTAATTATTGCAAGGGAAAATCATACCTACTAATCATTTTAGTAATTCAAGGCTGGATAAGTGAAAGAATTCAGTGCTAAATCAAAACTGACTTGCATTTATTTAAATTATGAGCTATCTTTTACCAATATAATTATAACTGTCTGGCTCAAACACAGAGCCATGCACAAAACACAACAAATATTGTACAGTTTCTCATTGAATTAAGCGGCATCTGAGTAGTTGTCAATTATTGCTTTAAAATCACTGCAGTCAAGAAAGAATATTACAGGAAAAATGTTTTGCCACACCACTTTCTTTCAAAGGCTAATTCACATTGTCTGCTTCTTTGCTATTTTTACCTGGTAAAGGTTTCTGGTTTTCATGCAGTGTAGGGAATTCTTTCACCAGGTCTTGGTGCTCTTGGCTATGAGAGAACCAGCAGTTACAGTCAAAGTTCACCTCTTGATTAGTGTGTAGCTCTTCCATCAAAATAGATTTCAAATGCCAGCCCTCAAAGTCTGGCAAATCATCACAGTTGACCCGAATCTTGTATACATCTCCAACAACTCTAGAATCAACCTAGAGGTAAGAAAATGACAGAATAGGAGAAAAAGTCCATATTTAATATTTTTTTCCAAGCATATGAAAATGGGTAACAAAAACATACTTCTAGATAAATATTTCTTTCAGGCTCAATTTGATAGAATGTAACTTCATGAATTTTCCTTTTCCCAGTAAAGTTAGGATATTTTCCTGATAAAGTTAGCAAGTATTTCCTAACTAGGACATAAATTAATATTTGGGTTCCAGTTCATGAGCATTATAAAGACTTCAGCTTATTGCACATAACACTTATAGGACACTGTTAAATGCAAGCTGCAGTCCTAAAAACATTTCCCTACAAGTAAGCCCAGCTGTAATCACTGAAGTAGTGTACATGAACAGCATTGCACTATTTATTTATTTATTTATTTATTAGATTTAGATCCTGCTTTTTTCTTATGCCGAATTCAAAGTGACTTACACAATTCTTTTCCTCTTGCTCTTAGTAGCTGTTAGTAGCTCAAGACAGTTGCAATCTTTTCAAATATTAAAATTACCACACTCACATTGTTGTTTCTTTCTTGTACTGTATTGAAATAAGATTTGTTTCTTATTTTAACAGAAACAATTCTTTCCTTGTTATTGCTGGACTGGATGCTCGATTCAAAAGCTCTGACATGACCTTGCTACTTCAATTGCAAATGTCATTTTTTTGTTGTAGCTTTTGCTACCGATGGTTAAAATGTCAAGAAAATCAATGTACTGCTTTTCATTCCTCACTTTCTTCCTGGACTTTTCAATTTATGTAGACAGAGAAAGGACTGATGGAGAATAATGCTGAGATTAGAAGATCTGAATAGAAATGGGAAAAGAACCCTTTCCTAATCACTTTCTTCTTTTTGTCAGCAGCACTGAAGGGGCCTAACAAGAACAAACAAACAAAAATCTCCTCATTGCCATACTATCAAAGGGGAAGTACCAAATTTATTTTTCTGCTCCAACCTTTATTTCTTTTACCTGTGCAGCAGAAACATACAATGTAATGCTATTGGATTCTGTCTACCACTTTGGATTACAGTTATGCTGGGGCCATATCAGGGAAAGGAATAGTCAGATTGTGGTCTGCACACTAAGTCTGTTTGCCCTCTGCTGAAATGAATAGGGAAATCCTGCAGGTGGGAAATCTTCATACCCAGCATGGAATACCTGCACCTTCAAGATTTTATTGCTCAGGATAAACATTCATGTGAGAGTGGGGAAGATTAGAATATCCAGAAGATGGATTCTAACACTTATCAGCCCAAACATATGGCCAATGGTCAAGCTGGAAGTTGTAGTCTTTCTTCTGAATAAACATGCATAAGATTGTGCCTTTAAAGAGCAAAACTACACGTTACATTAAAGGTGGAATATAGCCACCCTCTTCTACTTTTCAATTATCTATAAATAAGGGTCTGGTTCACCACATGCAAAGAGCATAAGCTGAACACCTTCACATTCTTCCCTCTAATTTTTGCCTCCTTCCCCACATAGGGATTTTAAAAAGAAAAAAAAACTTTATTGGCACCAGTGGACGTTACAAAAGTGGGACAGGTGGTAGAATATCAAGATTGAGTGGACTGAGGTCATGGTCATGGTGGCCCTGATTAGAGCTTCTCTGTCTTACTTCTGCATGACTATTTTCTTCTGTGCAATTACAGACTTGTAAGTTTGGCACTTGAGACATTTTCCCAAAAAATAAATGGTTTCTCTACATATCTATCATCATCACTATCTTCCTCTGTGCATCTTTTCTCTAAATAGCATCTATCCTTTTAATTATCTTCAGGACTGAATCAAAGGTATAACAGCTTCATATTTGTTATAAAAAGCTAACCACCACATAGCTACAAACAGGAACACTTGGGTTGAGGTTGAGGACCAAATTCAATTTGGAAAAGTTTTTGATGTTACTGAAAGGAAATAGGTAGGGCCAAAGTACCCACTTCCCCAACCACAGTAACTAACTGTGAGATTTCAATCTTTTACATTGGGAGGAAATGCACGTAAAGTTAGGAAACTGCCAGGTAAAACAGAGATAGGACGAAAGGTAGCAGGAGCAGGCAGTGGGACTTGAGCAAGGTCAGATTTGGCCACCTGGAATAAGAAACTTTCAGATATGTTAGCATCTTTAAGCTAATGGAAGGTGTGACAAGAGGAGCCATGCAATGAAATATAAACCAATGTTTCCTTTCTTTAGGGTATGGAATCCCTGCCATGGCAATGTAAGATTGATATGCAACTTTTGGGTAGATTCTTGTACCATGGAGCAATGTCTGTCTTTCCTAGCACATTACAGGGAAAACCACTATGAACTTGGCTAATATGAAGTAATGAGGGTTTGCCTGTTGATTCCCTTTAGAAAAACCAGTCTCATGAGTCTGTCAAGTAGTGGATGCAAAAGTAATAGGAGGAACATCATTGCAGCAGGAAATCCGCAATGCTCATCACTTTGACTTGCTTTTCTTCATAGTTACATCTGCAGAACTGCTTTTCTTTCATAAAAGCACATCCATAGTCAGATCTCAGCGTCTTTTATTTCAAGCATTCTTAGTTGGGGACTTGAACGTTCCCTAAATCCTACCTCAAGGTCTTGTATACTAGATCCACTCTAGTTTCATTGTGACTAGAATATTAATATTCATGTAAAAAGTGGTGGCACTGCTAGAAGCGTATCTCTTTACATTCTTGAATGCCAGAGGTCTAAGATTTTCAGCTGGATACTGTGCATTAAGTACTCTCATTTTGTTCTCAGAGTGTGTGTTAACATTAATGAAGTTATTCCAAAACACTGAAATGGGGGACAATAGACTGGCCTTCTACATTTGTTGATTGTGACTTTCTGATGAGCAGTGAAACCATTAAACTCAGCTTTTTCACAGCAAGAGTTTCAGTCAGTAAAATCATTACTTAGTTTTCTTACCCCATGTTTAACTTCAGGACACTATTTATACAAAATAGGCATTCATTCCAAGAATACTACAGGCTATCTCACAAAAGTCCATGCCTGGAATGGGAATGATATAATCTCTCTCTCTTTCTTTCTCTTTTAGCTGAATGTAGTGGAATTAGACTAACAGTACAATCTTATATATATTGACTCAAAAATAAATCCTATGGATATCAGTGGTATTTACTGCCAGCTTAGTTGGTATGAAGCTGAAGCCTAAATGTGGTTTATCACCACTACCATCTGGCCACTCTTTTAACCTTAATCTATTGCTCCACAGATAACTGTTCTAAAATATAGAAATTCTATTGCCGTTATGCCAGGTGAACTAAGCAAGGAAATGGGGCCACAGATAGAGGCAAAGCCTCCATGGGCTATTCAGGGAACCTATGTTTGGGCTAGAAGTCCTCCATTTCCTTACTTAGTTCACCTGGAGGCTAACAGAGTCTTAGAAAGGAGGTGTGGAGAGGAAAACTGGATGTTTTACTGGAAGCAAGCATACCTCTTAATTAGCGAGTTGCTCACCAATTGGGTGGGTGGATGGTGGACTAAGTGCTGTCCTGACTGAAGACACCAGGTGGCAGACCTTGGCTGGAGACACCTTTATGCAAGCCTGTATGCAGTATAGCTAGGTCCTCAGGACAGGGCAGGCACAGCAAAGCTGGATTCTGGGCCAATGTGATGGGCAGAAGGGCCCAAATTAGTAGGATTCCCATTCCCATCATTCAGCCTGCAGAGCACAGGGTGTAGGATATCTGGTCCCCAGACCAAACTCCTACCCACCTCTGCATTATGCTAAGAATTGCAAGAACAGCAATGTAGGAACTACAAAAGATAATCTAGCACAAGGATGAAGACCAAGATAAAGCACATAAACACTATGGTATTCCCAGTAACTATGTGTGGGTATGAAATCTGGACAGAGAAGAAAGCTTGACAGGAAGAAAAATTATATGTTCAAAGCACAGTGCCAGAGGAAAGCTTTGCAAAAACTCTGGACTTATGGAAAGACCACCAAGTGAGTCCTAGATTAAATCAAGCTAGATTGGAAGCAAAAAATGATGAAACTGGAGCTGTCACATTTCAGATGGCCACATAATGGGAAGGCAAGACTCGCTGAAGAGCACAGTATGCAAAGGCAAAAAAGGTAAAGGGGAAGACCGAATATGTATTGATTCCACAAGGGAAGCCACAACCTTGAATCTACAAGACCTGGGCAGGGTTGTCAAGGACAGGACATTTTAAAGAGCTTTCATTCATAGATCAGAGATTGCATTGATGCATGTAACAACAACAAAACAGTAATCTCCTGATCCCATAATAGTGATTCCCCATAATGTTTGTGTGTGTGTGTGTGCACACACATGCCAGTTCTACATATATATTCTCTCAATATACCTTCCCAATCCTAGCCAACAATTTCAAAGTCCTCTCAAGTTTGCAAGATTATGCCTCATGAATCTTTCTTTCTTGCAAGGCCTTAGGATCTAGTTCTTAATTTGGGACTTTGCATGAAGCACATGGTCAGCTTTCTAGAATTCATCAGGATCCAGGAACTGGAAGTCAAGGCTGAAGAGTATAAAACAGAAGGCAGGACCAGAGCATAAGCCAAGAAACTGAGCCACAGAACCAGACACACCACAGTTCAAGCAGAACTCGTTGCTCAAGCAAAGTTCCAAGGTGCCATCTTTTCTTCCTTTCTGCCTAGGAAGAGAACAGCTTGGATAGAGTCCATCCAGAAAAGGCTTTACTGAAAAGCTGCTTCACTGAAAACCTTGGTAACAAGGCCAACTGTAAGGGCTTTGTTCAACAGTTTGTGACACTCGGACAACAGGGATCCACAGTTGTCCACTGATTTGCCAGTCATGCTTGAAGACAGCCATTTTCATCTGGTTCCTACTGACAGGTGTGGTCACTGTTCTATTTGATGGGTTGCTGCATCATCAAAACTTGCTGTATGAACTGAAGCTGAAACACTCTAAGATTAGATGGTAGATTTCATGACATTGGGGTACATATAAATGTCCTGTTACATAGATCCATCACT